TTTTTTGTCAAAATTTCGAAAAATACTTTAAATAAAAGTTGTAGGTACTGCTATTACCTACGGGAAATGTAATTACCATAAGAATACATGCAAATTTCAAGTCACTGTAATTTTTCAAAAAACCCATGAATTGATTTAAAATTTTTAATTCAACATGCTAGCATCGTTTCAGTATATAGCCTATACATCCTTAATGAATGAACTGAGAAATATATAGCCTCGTTTCATTTGATAATGTCCATAAATAGAAGCTCTCGATTATATTGAAATTATTATCCCCTTTCAATGAATTTAATCAGAAACAATAGGTGGTCTAATTTCATTTGGTAACGCCGTGAGAAGCTGAAGATACGGAAATACCTTGGGACTAATTAATAATGCATGTATCTATTGTTCGTTATCGGAGATAACTCGAACCAAGAAAATATCACGTAACAATAATAACGATCAATCGGGTACCTAAAGGCAGAGCCGAGCTAGGGTGAGAGCGAGCTAATGGAATTACGAGTGCGATGAGCCAGGGATAATGCGGAACACACTGGGATATGTTTTCTCAAGGGAGAGCAGCCAGAATTTCGGATTTCCGTGTATAGGAAACAGTGGCGTGCAAAATGTATCACGGAACAACTCGCGCGGACGAAATTCGTAGATAAGCCGCGTTTGTTATGGGAACAAAAGTTTGCGAAATACACTGGGAGATATCGTGTAAAATAAATTTCTCGGCTAATCGGTAAACGAGTTCAATGGAGATCTTCCGTTAGGAGGAGATTGATTCTCCAGAATCCGAGGCACGCCGTTGAAGTCGAAGAAGGGGTTGAACGGTGAAGGGAGCAAGAAGCAGGAAACGAGATAGATAATCGCGTCCCGGGAAAGTTACAAGAACCGGAAACTGGAGTTTACTCGATTTGGCAAGTTCGATATTCATTCGGGCGACCCCTTTAATCCGCCCGCCCATTCCCTCTCATTTCCCTTGCCTACGATCCGAGGGTGGAGCAGGTAATGTATGCACCGTCTTCGTTGAATTTCAAACGATCCCGCAAATCGAATGAGGTTCGTCATGAATCTTTTCTTTCGGATAACGTGACACTGACGAAGCTGCTCGAATGATCACCCGTCTCAATTCTCTTCCTTATTAATCTATCTTAGATTACCATTGAATGATTTTCGGATGAAAATGTAATTAGCATCGAAAGAAATGAAGAAAAAAAAACACAGAAATAAGAGATAAAAAGAAAGATCGATTTGAAGACTTAAATCAATTTATCACGCGATTACACGGCGACCATTAACGATAACATCTTGGATGCGAATAATTGCCAGTTGCATTTTCTTGTACACGCGCCTGATTCATTAGTCGACGCCTCCGCGGGAACTATGATTACAGGATAAACCGACAATAGCGGCGTGTCGATACGATTACCGAAGCAACAATTAAGATTCTTAACTAATTATAGTAGACAGGTTGAAGTATTAAAAAAGGAAGCACAAACTGGTGAATCTCTCGTTTCGTTTACTTACATGTCTCGTGTCAGCCGCAAGGAGGGGTGTGTGTGCCTGCAACAATGAGTGCCCAGAAAATTAGATTCAGCCCAACCGCGTACCAAATTCTTGTTTCTAAAACGCTTCATGCTTCGGCAAAGGCACCATTCGTTGCAATCGAGGACGCAAGCTCCCCGAGCGAAAAGCATGCTATCATGCGATAACACGCGCCCTAATGTATCATGCAGGATACGAGAGAGGGATTGTCAATCACAATTTGAAACTTTACCCTTATGCATTGAAAATAGAAATAGAACATCTCATCTGTAGTATTCAAACGAACCAAGTATGTACCGTGTTTCAAGTAATCAGATATACACATACCAAAGTGTTTGATGTGCAGTTCTCTCAAATCAATCAGACTTTTAATTTAATGACATTGGGGAGAACCGAGACGGGAATCGAGTTACGAAAGACCTCGTCGCGACGATGAAACAAAGGAATCCTGATAGTTTGAAAAGTGAGGAAGGCTTTTGTAGCCTCCTGAGAATCGCGTGATCGCGATGCGATTTCGCTCAGCCGGAAAATCCATCTATAGCCTCAGCGGACCAGAAATGTACAAGCGCGAAGAATACTGATTCATTTTACAAATAAAATTATATAACTCTAATGTTGCTATATATAACGTAACTATTAACGTTGTTAAGAATTGATAGATGGATGATCGTATTGACTAGAAAAGGGTGTAAAATTTGCATAGGAGATTTATTGAAATAAACTTGCGATACCATATTCCCCTTTATACGTAGATATTCGATATTTTATAAACGAGATTTTTTTCACGGTATCAATTCATCCATTTCAACGGAATGTCATTGCAAAAACCGTTTTAGTCCAGTTATCGACTCACGCCCAAACAACCGCGATGCAATATATCGCTTCTGTACACTCATTTTTCTGGAAGGTTTAATTAATGTGTCTCCACGGTGTACCGTTGGTCTGTTCATCCGCAGAAAAAGATTAATCACGTTCGTCGCACGTAATATTAATTTGCTGAAATAAACTTGCGCGTCGAGACTACCACCAGTAAGACTATTTTTCGCATTGAAAATTATTTCTACTACTTTCCTTCTTTTCTTCTCCGAACGCAATAGCCTTTGTTACAAAGCGGTTCCTTTTGATTGATGAGCCCGTTACGAATATTTCATACCTTCGCCCGGAAAACAGCGATCGTCGTAAACGAGGAAAAGATATCCGCCGTAGGAAGAGATAAAACAGGGTTATGGGCCTCGTTATCACGGTAAGGAACAGGGGAAGCCACAGTTGCACCTCAACGAGATGATCGAGATGAATCACTGGCTCTTCTCATTTCCATTACTTTCCCCGCGTACCATCCCTATTCTCATCATTTCTAGCCCCTGTTTCTCTCCGAGCCAATTCTAATCGTAATTTATCGAAATTCGATTCGACTCGTGCCACTCGAACCCGAGTGTCTAAAGGAAATATATTATGCTCTCGCGGCATTCAATTTAAACCTTTCTCTCATTAAACCATTCCTATAATCGAATTCAATGAACAAGACGTTTGTTTTATGAACCGTGGTCGCTCAATTTGAATAGAACAAAAATTATTAACACGTTTTACGAAAACAATCGTATCAAGCGCGAATCTTGAATTCATCGATCGAGTCTGGTAGACTTCCTCGCGACCCGGAACTTGATCATAGCGATAAACGAGACCGAAGTAACAATAGGCCAGAGGTAGCAGACAGGTAATTTCCTTCGTATGCCTTACTTTGTACCGTCGAGAACAATGAAAGACGTCTTGCGACTGGGGAGGAAGAGAAAGTCAGCCTATATAGTTCCTATCCAATCCGCCGTTGCACCCTCTCGCTCCGTTTCATCCCTTTCAAGACGAGGAGTCCACTCCTCCGATTCCGTCCGGCGAATAATTTTCAGAAAATAAACCGAGACGAGACCGCCGACGAGCCGAAGTGGCTGATCTTGAGAAGAATCGGAAAGCCCAGACCGGGATCGGGGGTTGTTCATTCAACAAGTACGAAGGGGCGTAGCTACGATAACGCGTTGCCTTACGACGGGAATCCCGACGTTTTTGTTATTCATAGAACCGGCAGACGATATCAGACCACCGCGAACTTTTCGACCGCGCTTAAAAGGGAGAAATTTAAACGAGCCGCGTCTCGCTGAGAAATCGATAGACCGTGGATAGATTGATTCCAGTGCTTTCAGAATGGGAAGGGAAATTTCTTTGCGGCAAACGAAACCACTTCGGAGCTCAATTTCCAAAAGGGATTTGAAAGGAAACGTATTGAGGGGAACGAGTGAACATGTACAACCCCGTCCTTAGGACATACTGAGCAATTTATGATTCAATACGACGTTGTCAAAGTGATTATAGTTACAATTTGTAATCCAATTTATTGAAACTGTTCATGATTTTAGTATGATCTTTCAATTAGACTTTCGTGGTTTCACAAAATTTATTTTAAGACTTATGAACGGGGATGTGTTGTTCGTTTGGAAAACAGACAGCTCGATAATTCAGGGTACTTTATAGCAAAAATCCTCGTCGTTCTTGTTATTCATAGACCTGTCACACGAAATATGAATTGACGCGCTGTAACGCGCGTAAGCGTCTACCTACTTACGCGCGGGAGATATGCAAACCCGCGGATAAAAGTGAATATGGAAAACCTGAAGCTAAGAAATATACCACTCCTTCACGTTCGCTTTGGTTTAACGCCCATGCACAAATTAATCACGTATATAAAAGTTTAATAATACATAGAATAGAGTCCGATGAAGAATAAAACATAGACTAATACCATTTCAAAAACTGAAATTTAAATAAGTATTTCCTTGATGCTTTAAACATTATAATTCACAGTACATTTATAATATTCAACATCTCTCATTACACATACGATTCCTCCATGAATACGTAAAATCCAAAGACTAGTAATACGATATCCGGTAAAAATGCTTCTGAAATGAACACGGGAGAACAACTGTTTTATACATTTTACTAGTAGAATTTTGAAACCTTTCATTTGCTGCCATTGTATTACGTGATATGTATTTTACCAAAAATTTTATGCCAGGTGCGACGAAAAGCGGGATAAATAAGTCGTTTAAAATTTATTTACTAACCTTGCGCTTGGTAAACATATCTTGTAACATAAACGATACAGTTTATTTGCTACTTTGTCTCGCCGCATGCGATTTACACGATGATTCCATTGACAGTTCGAATATCTGTAGTGATTTCTCGTACCATGCCGCATTGGCGAAATTCAATCTTCTGATTTCCCCACGGGAAAAGCGCGGGCTCTAACTCGGAAACGCAGTTGTCCATACGCGTCACGAAAATAAAATAAAAACGTATCTTTTCAACGGTTATTGTAATTTTATACTTTAGTAGGCATTTCCAATTTTTATATCGTATTACGTGCTACATGAATTCGCAAACTGTTATGGATATAAATGGATTTCTCCAGACAGGAGTCATTTGTGAGACTAATTTCGATCAATGAAAAGGGACTCGAGATAATCAGACAATTTTCCTCCTTTTACGAGGAAAAAATTAGTTTCGTATCCGAGCAAGAGAGCCTTCCTTCGATTTGTCTCCATTAGCGTATCTTTCGTTAGGATTCAGAGGAGACGAAGAGAGAACTCTGCCTCGTCATCGTTGTTTGGAAGCGAGTGGGGCGAAGGAAAGAGTTCTCCCCCTCTGAAAACTCATTCGGAGGTAACATCGAACTTTTCCGACCCTTCTGATCGAGAGAGCGAAGAAAAGAAAAATCCGAGGGATGGGGCGAGGGTAGAAAAGACGGTGTGGCCCTGAATGATAATTAATTACCAGGGAACGGTCACCGGAAGCCCTCGATTCGCGACGCGCGGTGGAATATGAAATTCAATTAGCCTCCTACGTGAACCCACTTGCGGGTCGCTCGTCCACGGAATTAGGGAACTCCGCCCCGCCTCACGATTTCTGCAAAAGCAAAACTTTTTGCAATCCCGCCGCGAGGTAGCTGCGCGCAAAATTAGCCCCGGGCTTCCGAGAAATTTCTCTTTGTGCAATTACGTTAATTTTTCTCGTCCAACATTCTTGCGCTCTTCGATAATCGTGATTCATCTCTTACAGGATTTATTCGCCCGTTTCTTTTTTAGAGTAATACTCGATGAAATTGCTCTTGGTATCTCATAATGTACCGACGGGAAATTAGTTTGGTTCCGATCCAAGAATAGCTCTCTTGGAACAGTTTCCCTTTATTTGATATTCTTTCAATGTTATAGAAAAAAAACCGCACCATCAAAGTCATCGGAAATAATTGCTCTACCGATTCCCATGTATGCCTATCATACGACGAATTTCGATTAAAATACATATGCATAAATAATTATCATTTTACACATTCACTTCGTAAAATTATCAGCCTGCATACTAGATAAACGTTATCTCGCATTATGTGCTAAGTAAAGCTAAAGGACCATATGTCTCTTTAATTCCCCATGCGCGAAACAGGTTTCAGTGAAGATTAAAAATGCACCGCGAAAATGAGAATTACACGGCCACGAGTGGAATATAACGAGTGTGTAATTCTGTAACCCACGGAACTACGCGACTAAATTAATTAAGCGCGTCTTCGTTCTGACCGATCAACTCGAATCAAGTAATACGTTAATTCATTGTCAAATAAAAAACTTACTGCTCATTTTTTATATCATAAATTATTATCTCATGCTTTTAATTAAATGAAAAAATAGAATAAAATAAATGTCATTAATGCCTCGATGGAATTTGCATAAGTTTAAAGTAGATTGCAGATTTTTATGCAGAATAAGACGTGGTATTAATTTCAAAAAAATGTTCCAAATATAAATTTAAATAATAAGTAACATGTAGTTAGCTTGTAAAATACTATATAATTTTGACGTACATACATGACATGAAACAACGTATTTACACGTTCGTACTTTTGTACATTGAACTTTCTTATAAATGCATAAAATCCGCATTTTAACTCTCAGTGTTTCTCCAATGCTGCTGGAATA